GCACCCTTGGTAGGCCTTGAACTTAGGAAATAGTTTGAAGACAGTCGAATTAGTTTAATTTCAGGAAAGTTTCAAGATAGTGGAGTTAGTTTAATTTAAAGACTGTCTTGATTCAAACTGCCAAAATATCTCTCCAGTGAAACATAAGGAAAAAGGGGAGGGAATATTAAAACACCCAAAAATTTAAAGGAAAAAAAAATGTATTGCACAGGCAAATAAATGTAAAAGTCAAAAAAACAGCCAGTAACATTTCCAGAAATAAACTGTTCTCCAACACACAGAGGATAAACATGGGCTCTTTCAGGGAGAAGGAAATCATAAAAATAAAGACAAAAAAAAAAAGCTGTATAACTGATTCAACCACTGTGACCAAGGGATATTTTACTCCCTGAGCATTTCAGCTGAAATTATCTCGTAGCTGAGACATAGACCCTCTTGGCACAAGAGTGTCTGAATATATCCCAAAGGCTGGCAGTGTTTCTCCAGTTCCACTCGTAACCTTTCATCAAAGCACAGCCCAGGGATTCTTGCAGGGAGACACAGGCTTTCCCCACTTATGAGGAATGGATAGTGAGCGTCTTCACTGACAGATATTTTTCTGTTACGTAGGGCTAATTTGTAGTTCGGGTGCAGCATAGGCAGGGGCGCAGCAAGGAACGTTGAGCAGATGTGACACAGAGCGATAACATCCTTAGCATAATCCAGTGTCACACAGTTATGAAGTGCTATAAATACAGCACGAATTCTCCAAGGCCCAATTCCTTCGACAGAGCTGGGCATCTCTGCGTTGCTGTGTGTTTAGACGGCACTGAAGCAGTGTCATCCTCAGGCTTCGTTCATTTGGGCACTGCTGTGAATGCTCATAGGAGACTACAAGCATCATTGCAAGCAGTAGCGTTGATTCTACATCTTGATGCAGTTTTTGACAGCTTTTGGATTGATGCTTTGATTTATTCACTAGACGAAGAATTTATCATTACAGGCATGCCTCATTTTTCCCTTGTACTGCTGTATTCCTTTTAGAACTTGGTAACATGCTCTTACAATGTATTTAATAGAATGAATCCATGTCATACACAGAGCGCACATGGACTGTGACTTCTTAAAAATCACCCAAGCAAAGTTTTGTGAGAGCCCCTTCCTGTTCTTACATGTTTGCCATTACTCCGGCCCAAGAGGATGGGCTGGGAGGGCGAAGGCTGAGCTGGAGGTTGCCCTGGAACAAGGCAGTGCAACTGCTGCCACGCTGTGAACTGTAGCTTTTGGCCTCTTGGCCTCCAAATTTCTTTGGTGAACAAGTCATCTTATTGTGTAAGTGAAATGCATCCCATTATTCTATGCATGACTGACAGAAAAATGCGTTACTTGCTGGACAGACTGTCAAACAATACAGTTTTCACTTACAAAGCACTTTCCTTAAAAAGCTCCTCAGGGCAGCGTTGTATAAAAATAGTTGTACTAAAGTTGTGAACCAGCTTCTGACAAATCAGGACTAACAAAAGCTAAGGTATAAATAGCAGTGTTTTCGTGGGCTTTCTCTTCTCTGGAGGCACAGAATCTCAGCCAGCGCTGGATTGTAACAAACAAAAATGCCCTTTTCCAGACACACAGGAAAACAAGGACCTTTCAGACCAGTGGCACAGAATATAAATAGGTTTTCAAAATTACTTCAAAACCATAAAACTTAGTCAAAACCGTAACATTTGCATTTTAGAATGAGCCACGCCATATCAGACAAATTTTTTGATCCAATTCTTTATTTTATTTCATACAAATTAGCATCTCCTACTTTAGAGAAAGGTTAAACAAGTTATATTCTTATAATGGAATGGAATGAATTGTCTCCAGGCGCTCAGGGATATGAGGAGTATCTCAAAGTCTGCAGTGTATTAGGATTCCTGGAAGACAAATGCTGAAGAACATAAAATATTACATATTCTGTGTTTATATTTTGTCAGTGGGCAGAATAAATGCACCTTACTGGTCATTTTCAAAATTCATTATTCTTGCAAATTAGAGTGTTTTGGTTTTTTTTTTTCTTCTAGCAGGTTTTGAAAGAGTTAAATGCAAAGCTAATATTTGCTAATCCGGAGTTTGGATAATCTTGATTTTACTCTGAGCTTGTTCCTTCTTCTGCTCTGTGCTGACCTTTTCTGAATCTACCAAACCCAACTCAGTTTAATCCACAATACCAAAGAAGGAAGGTCTGTTTCTGTAAGCCTGAAATAGTTTGTATTGCAGCTAACCTTGCAGCTGAATCAGTTCTGCTGTTCCTCATTAAGTTGCGTTGGACCAGTCCTGTCTGCCCAGAGCAGAAGCAAGGTGGAACAGGGTACCTACATAAGTGGTCTGATACCTGCCACTGTTCTTGGTGTAGTAGCTCCTGTACTGAAAACAACCCCCACACAAAACATTTACGTAGCAACAACTGAATCTGTAGTACCCTTGGGGTCTGTAGTAGCTGAGCTTTGGAGACACTGACTGCTTCAATCTACATATGGGAGGTAAGGATTTCAGCGAAAGTTTACTGGCATCATATCGTTCTGTCTGTTCTCCAACCATCCCATAATGCTAATTTTTCTCTTGCAAAAAAATACTGGGTGGCCTTTTTCCACTCTGCGTGGAAGTCTGCTGTTCACCCCCTTTTCCACCTTTGTAGTCACTTAACACAGTTCAGCCTGGCCAAACGGGCGATCTGCAGCCATCTCGCCACCTCAGAGCATCACCCGCGAGTGGCGAGGCACAGTAACGCGGCAGGCAGCACCCGAGTTCCACCTTGCCGTCACCCGGACCACGACCTGGGCGATGGGCGGTTAGTCTTTTTTCGCTCCGACAGCAAACAGCGCAGCAATTGTTTGGGGCAGTATTTAGTTACCTCCATAAAAAAAAGATCAGAAAGACAGTATTCTGCTCCGTGCTGCTGCCAAGTAATAGTTTATGCTATTTGACACCAGATATTATGAGTATTCCTCATTATAATAATATTTGGCCAGTTCTGCTACCCAGTGATCTGTATGAGAAATATTTGGTGTAAAAATGATTAGTTCCTCCTGCTAGAGCTCAGCTAACAGATCCGCTTGCTGAAATTCTACTTCTGTCTGTAACAGCAGCGCGAAAATAACTTTAATAATTAATGATGCCCCGATTAGATTATAAACTCTGAGATGGGCCGGAGATTTCTGTATTATGCATCAGACAAAAGATACTGGCAATGCTTAACTCGCAGTCCCCTGCTCCTGCTCCACCTGCCATTGTGGGAGCACTCTGGAAACCAGAAGGGAGACAAAGGCCCAAGAGAAATTGATACAAACCTTCGCCTGCCCCTCGCGTGTTCAGGAGCAGAGAACTGTTGAAACAGGTGCTGCTACGGCTGCGTGCCGGGGCATGACTTCGCCTTTTAACATGTAATTTGCCAGGTGACCCTCTCCATCGTACCCTGCTGTGAAGGCGATGGAAGACAGCATCCAAACTTCAGGCTAAGCGAGAGTTAAATGGGAGTTTCCTGACTGGAAACACCAGTGCAAACAGCTGCTGTGGAAGGGCTGGGCGAGGAGAGACGGGCGGCACCGCGCGTGGGTGCCTGTACCCTGCGCTCACCCCCTTTAGGGTTCCCTTGCTGTTGCCACGCTGCTCTGCCCTGTCAGCTGCTTGTAGGCACCAACAGATTTTTTTGCTGGAAATGACATTATATGCTGCTGATTTTAGGGTAAATAGGAGTTTAACACTGAGAATGACTAGAACTCAAAATTGGAAAATTGCTTCCTAGCCTTAACTTCCAGTTAGAACCTTTGCTCAGCCATCGTAACTAACTTTTTCCAGGCCCTTTGCTCTCGTCCTGTGACTCTTGGGGCCTATTTATTACAACTACAGAGGCAAAACCTCTCAGGGGAGATAGTCCATATGCTGGTTCTTGAATTAAATAAGGTATTACCAGTGTGTCGAGTGCAACGCTTTTACTGGTATAAAAGTGTGATTAAAAAAAGGGGACCTTAGAACCAGATTTATGGTACCAACAAGAATTGCCATCAGTCTGGCCTTAGAGGTCAAGCCAGTTTCAGGGGAGAAGGGACGCTGTGAAATGAAATGAGCAAATGAAGTTAGAAATTATTCATTTTGCCAGTTGTTGGGGACACTACAGAGCACCGAACATGGTTAAAACAACAGTTACTGTTACGAAGCGCTCGGGAGGCAAACAAACAGATGAGAGCAGAACTAGTGAGTGGCAGTGGGGCTGGAGGGTGAGAGCAAGCCGGGGCACGGCCGGCACCCGTGTGGGGAAGGCGTACTCTGTCTGCGGAGGGCTTGCGCGGGGCAGAGCATCGGGCAGCTCCTGGGAGACACGGCTGGGGACAGGTGGCTCTGGGGGCCCACGGCTGCCAGAGCTCCAGCCCCACGGTCAAATTCAGCACAGGTGGCAAAGCCCACCCCAGGAACAAGAGTGGTTTATGTGACAGACACAGCAGAGACCTTCGTTAGTGGGACCTTTTTAATGAACAACAGCTAAGTTCTGGAGGCATCAAAATGTATCCTTCTGCAACTAGGAATTTACAGACACCACAAGCCACATGGCTTATTTTTTTCCCCTTTTCTCTGTCCCTTCTACCACTGCCCTTTATGAAAAACAGAAGTCAAAGGAGAGAAAAATAGCTTTAATGAAACATTCAGGTTGAGAAATCAAAATCAGGCACTCCAACAACAGGAAGTTTCAAAAGCAGTGTGTGTAACAGCGGGTTGCTGAGCTGTAGCACGCTTGCCTTTTTCAATACATTTGCGCCATACTGTAATGAGTACCTTGATTCAACAGCTGGGCACAAAGGTAGTGCTGTGGCATTAGTTCAACGTGGCAGAATTTCCTAGGCATAGAAAGGTGAACTGAACTCAACCCCTGGAGAATTTCCTCACTCCTGCAATCAGTGCTGCAACTTTTGTCTTTCCAGTAAATGCATCTGAATCGTTTCCCTGTGCGAGTACACTTCAGCTTGTTTGTTCTTTTATTCTAGGGAGCTGGAGACAGTTTTGTGGGAGCACTGGCCTTCTACCTGGCTTACTATCCCAAGTTACCCATGGAGGAAATGATCAGGAAGTCTAACTGTGTCGCATCAGTGAGCGTCCAGGCATCAGGGACACAATCTTCATATCCTTACAGGAAGGACTTGCCTCAGGACCTTTTCTAATTGACGTTGTCTAGCTCAGCGTACTGATTTTATCTTATCCCAGACAGCATTATTCTCCTGACTGCACTGAGGTTCTCCTCTGCTGACTGGAAAGATCAGGGAAGTCTCTTTGTTTCTTGTTTGAGGAATCCTGTTCGTTTCTGTTCCACAGCAGTGAGATGGAGTGGGGGTGGTGGGTCTTTTAAACGTGGCCCGGCAGGTTGCTCTGGCCCCACACAACGAGCTATACTGAACTACACAAGGCTTGCAGCAGGACCTCTGCAGGGTAGCGGGCTCCTGGTGATATTTTCAGTTGATTTTATCAGAACTTCTGACGCGTGATGCCAGCATGTGAAGCACAGCATTCACTCTGAGCTTGCTGCCAGCATTTAGCTCGTAACAAAGCACCGTGCATCCAGCCCCGGCCCATCTGTTCCCGCGTGCCTCCGGCGTGGCTGCAGCACTGCGCTCTGCCGGACTCGGGAAGCTCCCTCGAACTGCACGGAAGAGAAGAGTGCTATTGAGGTAGACTTAGAAAAATGTTTCTAGCCATATTGCTCTGAACGTAGGTGGGCTAATTAAAAACTTCCAACATCAGCCAGAGAACTACTTTGGCTGTCTGCTTTCTTCATGCTTCACAAAAATCCAGGAGTGAAAAATCCATCCCGCTTACTGAAAATAATGTAGCCCTTTTAGCCATGGTCGTAGCTTATCCAAAAGCTCGTCTTACTTCACCAGGTTCCCGTTGCTTGTTCCTTTCCTAGGAAGGAGCTGGTGCAACACTCCCCCTTCAAGAAATGACACCAATTCATGGTCACTACTGTTGAATCTGCGGCTGGTAGGTTAGAAAAACTTGCAATCCTGCCATTGAATTCCTGCTGTGGAAAATGTTAATTTTTATTGCCTTACAAAACAATAGTTACTTTGAAGATTACGGCCTGTTTCACAATGGAAAACACAGACAATGGGATTTGCTATTTAATTTTTTTTAATTGAGTACTGTAAAAATAACTCAGAAGATAAATAAATGTTACTGTGATGATCTATGTCCAGACATTAAGAATTTTCTCTCTCTACATTGTTTTATTCACAATGGCCTTCAAATCACAGGAGACGGTGATCCCAGTTCATTTCCTCTCTTTTCAGCCCATGTTGCTGGATTTCTGAATCAGCGTTCACCCCGTCCTCCCCCCAAACCGTCCTCTCCTCGTGCATAAATCAAGTCCAGTCATTGTTCAGATGGAGCGAATTTTTCTCTTCTCTGTGAAGAGGACACGTCTCTTTGCTACAGGGGAAAAAAAGAATCTGTTAAGAAGCGTGAAGTGTTAAAACTCAATTCAGTGAGCCTATGTCCCTTCCTCCTGGCTGCCTTTGCTGTTTAAATGAGTGTGGAGCAACTGACTGGCACAGTGCTGTTCTCAACCAACTCTTGAAGGCGTTCAGTAGTGCTTTTGCTTTACCACATGGAATTTTTAGTTCCTAAGAGGTCCATTTTACCTCCGTGAAAATAAGTATCAGGATTTGTGTGGCTGAAAACATTCACCAGCTGCTCTGTGTGACTATTCTGAGTCACAGCTGCTTGAAGTGGAGACAAAAATAGGTTCTTACTGCTTTCTACTACTCTTCAACTTCAGAGCCCAAACAACTCCAGATGATGAGCTGGTTCTAGTCGGTCTCACAGACTGACTGGAAAGTTAACCAAGTATCCTGTGGATCTCTCCAGGAGGCACAAACCGACCCTGCCTCCAGTGCCTGATGCCAATGTTAGCAAAGTCAGTTCAGCTACAGGTTAAGCAAAGTCAATGAATTACTAAAAAAAAAGTTTAAAAATAATCAAGCCATTTGAAAAGCATGGCTGTTCTGACAGACCTTCATTACATTAATTCCTTTGAAAGCTACGCAAGAGCAATCCACACAGTAACAAAATCTCTTCTTCCACATAAAAGTTTCGCTTTAAGAAATACTGGAACTTAGTAACACATTCTGTTGCTGCAGTTAGGAGGTAGTGAAACTTGGGCACTACTGCCACTACTTCACTAAAAAGCTTCATTCTGTGGAGGCCCCAGGTTTTTGAGAAGTACAAAACATAAGGTGAAAATACATGCCAAGTGAAAATGCTTCCTAACATATTCCTGATGTGAGTTGGTATCTAGACTCAAATTTACTTCCCTTCACACATGCAGCACTTTCTCACATCAGTTTCTCACTTGTGTTCTACTACAGGCTACAAAGAGCAGAGATTTTTTTTCTTAATGACTTCCAATTTCGTACTTCAACAACCTACTACGTGTTCTGCAACAGAAGCACCACTTAGCCTGGGCTCTCCGCTCTCTTCACATTTCCTACAAGTTGCGAAGCTTCTGGAGGATCGCTTTGCATAATGTTTTGATGCAGTAATTTAAAATTTTCTTATTCAAGAAAATAATCCGATTCCCCTTCTGTATGGAATTCAGGAAAGCCACAACCTTTGTCAGCAAGAGTGCTTGGATGAGAGCATACGGTTGCGCTGGTGGTTTCTTTCACCTGCCAGAAAGCTCCTGTACTCTTAGATCTGACTACGAAACGGTTCGCCATATAACAAGAACATAAAATTGTAAGAAAAAAATAAGCGTGAACCACATAACTAGCAGGCATCCATTATGTTATCTACTTAGAGCTGCTTAATACATTTCTTCATACATTTCTATAGATTTAAATAAGCTTTTTTTGCATTAGTGCCCCCATGCTATTTCTGGCATGGTCTGGTTTAAATTCTAAGTTTCCCCAAATTAAGCTTTTAAATGTTAAATTAAGCTTTTTAATGTTAACTACAGACTAGTTTCTCCCCCCAGAACTTGAGCTCTTAGTCACCTTTCAAAAAGCTTGGTGAGCAAAAGGCAGCTTGGCAAGTGCTATAACCCCCCAACAAATGGGGTTCTTAAACTGAGAATATATGCAAGGACCAGAGGAACATAAAAGAACCCACAAACTGTCATCTGGAGAGCAGTATCATTTGGGGAGGAGAGAAAAAATTGTGTTTATTTCTTTAAAAGAAAAAAGTCCGTTTTGTAAGTGATGATTAGAATGTATTGTCTAGAGCACCCATGGCAGCTTAACAGAACATTTCTGTTGATGCATACTTCATGGCTGCTCGTTGGAGGTGGCACAGTCTAGCAAACCACACAAAGAAAGGGAATGAAAGAACTCCTGTGTCACTCAGCTTTGCCACTAACATGCGGTGTGGCTGTCATCAAAGGCTCTGATGCATCGGGCAAGTTGTTACTTTGTTTCAGTGCCACAATCTGTAAAACGAGGGTAACGTTTACTCCCCACTGGAATGTCACGAAGAACAGCAACTATACAGTCGTGTGAGTATGAAACATGCTATAGCATTCAGCTTAGATGGGAAAAGTCCTGTTCTGTTCACATCTTTTGCCTCACAGAGTCAGAGAAGCTTATACAACGCAGGCTGGCTTCTTCCCCAGGCTCTTACCGATGGGATCGTATCTCAGCAGGACCAGTTTTTCCTGCAGTCGGAGTCTCCTGATGTTGAAGCAGTAGCCTGTCTCGGCCGCGCTTTTCATCCTCACCAGAATGTATCTGAAGTCACAAGAAATTTCTCTGTGTCAGCGCACAGGGGCACTGCCAAAGGGACAAGCTTTTAGCATAAACAATGTGGCATAATCACTCTCATAGAATCATAGAATCATAGAAAGTTTTGGGTTGGAAGGGACCCCTAGAGGTCATCTAGTCCAACCCTCCCGCAGCGAGCAGGGACACCACTAACTAGATCAGGTTGCTCAGAGCCCTGTCCAACCTGGTCTTGAATGTTTCCAGGGATGGGGCCTCCACTACCTCTCTGGGCAACCAAGTAAGAGACTTCATTTCAACTTCATGGATGTTCTGGATGGGAGCTTCAATACTGTGGGCTAAACTTACAACACAGACAAAGAGCCCACTATAAACCACAAATTCCAGCATCAAGTTTTAACTAAACTCCTAAACAGAATACAAACCCAGAGAGAAGTAGCTCCTCCACAAAACAGTAAGGAGGGGAGTAAGAAAAACAGGAAAGAATGAGAGAGAGAAAGAGAGAGAGAGGGAAAGAGAGAGAGAGAGAAAAAAATCAACATACAATTGAGACACCATGGCTTAAAAGATAATGGCAAGAGAGGAAGGATGATTGTAGTTAAAGATGCTCGGGCTGAAGATAACGCCGTATCGCAGACTATCACTTCCACATGCAGAGGGGAACCAGAGCAGATAGGATGGAACAAGGCGTGCAAAAGGAGAAGCAGGGCCCCTCGGCACATCCATCCCGCCAGAGACACAGGGCTTAGCACTAACCCGGCCACAGGAACCCCCTTCCCACCGGAGGGCTCTCAGCCTGTGGGGCAGCCTGGCAGCAGCCGCGGTGTCCCTGGGAGCAGGGCAAGCCAGGAGACTGAGGAAGCCGCCACCATGCCCACTGCCCTGGAAGCATTTAAAGATCTGTACAACTTCCCAGAAACTGGGCATCTTCTGAAGTTTCAAAAGAAATGTCAGACCCTTTAACCAGTCCATAAATTACGCCTTTCTCTTCCATATCAATACAGAGATGGATACATCTCTACACGTAGGTGTTCAATTTCCTGGATTCTTCTGCTTCTAATACAAAATGGTCTGTCAAACTTTACCTTGAGGAGACACCCATTCTTCCTCACTTGTGCAGCTCTGACCAGTGTACTTCCCTGAGCTCTCCCTTGTCAGCTTTGCAATCTAATTTACTGCGAGTTGAAAATAAAACAGGAAAACATTGGATTCCCTCAGACCAACTGACTGAGCATAGTCTAGGGATTATCCCCGACTGCTGTCCTCTCCTGTACCCTGCTGCAGGTGTGATGTATCGCACCAGTAACCACACAGACCCCCTTCCCCTGTACCTCGCCCACTTCCTCAGAGCCTCTATGCAGTTTCCCCTTTCTGGGGGAATCAGTGGTATCAGTATGACCAGGCCTTGAAATTCTTGCACACCACATATTTGAGGCCAAGCCCTTCCTGAACAATACACCTTGTTCAAAAAACTCGCTGCCCAATGAGGAAACGTAACTAGGAGCAGAGGCAGAAAAGAACAGTGGAAAGCTATCAGGACACAGGGAGAAAACCCAAGGGGAGCACAGAAGGATAAATAATATAAAGAGATAACATATTCCTGAAGTATATATGGGACTATACAAAGAACAGAGAAAGGAACATCAGGAAAAAAAAGAGGGGGAGGGGGGAAGTTGGAGAGAGGAAATCACTACATTAACATTAGAAACACCATTTTCAAAAGCTACTTCTTGACCTCACGGAAACATCCTGCTTTGCTGTTTCTGCAAACAGGTAACAGTAGAACACCGAGATAACAAAATGCTCTCTTCCCCATCAGGCACATACTTGGGAAGTGTTTTCTTACTTTCAAACCCTGACAATTGTGCACAAATACTGTAACAGAAGAATCTCTTCAAACCCAGGAAGTGGTTGGTACTGGCTCTGTTGGGGGTGATTCTTTAAATAAAAAAAAAAAAATCAGAAAATGTGCCAAAGGCCAGTACCAAATGTAATACCCTTGCACAGAATGCAACTTCTGAGAATCAGAAGACAGGACTATGTTCACATAAGTGTACCACGTTAGCCCCTTGGATTTGTCTAGCTAATTTTCTTACAAATAGCATTTTGGATGTAAGTCATTCTCTCCACGTGATCTTGTCTCCTTGCATCCACACTGTAAGACTGCTGGTGTGCTCAAAGTATATATCCCTTCCTTTCCAACCCCTGAAACACATCAGCTGTCTCTACAGGTCCAAGGGCCGTGACTAATTTTCTTCCAGAGCCCACCAACATCTCTCCTGAGCTGAACTACAGAGCAAATCAAGATGGCCAGAGCACTGATGGAGCCCTGTCCACTCCTTACGTATCGACACACAAATGCGCTAGAACTGGGAAGCGTTCTGCACGCTGTATATGAGCATGGCTCACAGCACCTGCCCAAAGCCCAGCCCACAAACAACAAGGCCCACGCTGCACCTCGGCTTGCCCTCCTCGGCTGAAATGTACGGAAGGTAAACAAGAGGAAGATCACGGGGGGAATTCATGCCCTCTCTTCAATCATAAAGCACAGAGGCAGCCTTCCTTGCGCAGGGTGCGTTGGATATTGCAGCTCAGCGCAATGCGACAGCCCATAGGACAAAACCTGCCTTTGCTGAGATTTTAGAACCTTTGAGGGTTTTTCACACCGTTCTGCACTTACCTGTGGAAAGACACACATGCAGAAGGACAGAGAGGACACAGCTAGACTCAAGGACTGCCGTTCTTGGCAGACGGAGCTGTGAGCAACCTGGTCTAGTGGAAGGTGTCCCTGCTAACAGCAGTGGGGTTGGAACCAGATGATCTTTAAGGTCCCTTCCAACCCAAACCATTCTATAATTCTGTGATTCTCTCAGGTATATAAAAAAATTCTAAGCCTAATATTTTGTAGAGTCACTTGAAGATAGAGGGTGGTGGCAGAAATCAAAAAGTGGCGAGGAAAACATCACTTACTTAGATTTGCTCTTGGCCACTGGTTTTTTTCAGCATGAAGAAGAGGAAAAAAAAGAAGAAACAGTTATCATTTTATCTCGTTTCCTTTATAAGCTACATATAGAGTTTTCCACTGCCTGCCTTCGCAACAGCCCCAGAGAGACTGCGCAAAGAGATTTGCTGTCACAAAAGAAATGCCCCTCGTGCTTCCATCTACGTGCTCCCAGTCGCCTGCTTTTTCTTCAGTCATTCCGCCCTCCTAAGTGCCGTGCAGACACAGCGCTTTGCACAACAGACCGCGCTTGCTACAGCCCCAGGTGCTTCCAACACGAAGCTTCGACGCCAAATACAAATTCACCAGGTGAATATGCGGTTAAGGCCGGCGTGACCCCGTGCTGCTGGTGACAGCTGCAGTCCCGCTCTCCCCTGCCTGCGCACACCCAGCCCTGCTCCAGTCCCTGCCCCAGCGCCGACACACAGGCTGGCGTGGCCGCACG